GAAAGATCAGGAACAACTCATTTCAGTGTCATCCACCCGCTGCCACAGGTGCCGGACTCTCCCGCCTCCTTTTCCTCCATCAGCCCCTAACGTCCCGTTTCGTCCCCACCAGCCGAAGAGCGAGCTCGTGTATCCCGTGACACGTGATGGGACCCCACTAGCTCTTTAGTTCTGTAATAACGGGATTCGTTCTGTATGAATTGATTCTAGCATCAAATAACCAAGGTTTCCAGTTAAGACGGGTTCGCATAAAAATGTTGGGCACAAATGTTTTCCTGTTGTTAACTCTATTCTTGTAGTTGCATCAGATTATCTCCCAGCCTGCCAAAATAGAATTTCAACTTTCAAAACTAAAAAGAAAGCAATTATTTATTTTATTTTCCCTGCAAAGAACAAGCTTTAAAGTTTAAAAAAAAAATTTCAAGTTAAAGTTTAAAGTTGGGGAAATTGAGAGGCACATGATTTTGGATGAACTGAAAATTAAAGCCTTCAGTGATTTGTTTGGTCAGTAAGTTTAAATTTGAACAGCTCTCATAATAAATCATCAGAATACCTGACTCTTTCGCAGCAGCTGTCGTGCCATGAACCTTTCCTTACAAAATCCCCTGCCCACGCACACCCCCAAAGTAGTTGTCTTTCAAGATCAGACAACTGCTCGCATTTCAGGCTGGGCCGGGCTAAAAAAAGAAACATTAAAAAAGCAAAGACAGATTATATCTGTCTTAAATCACTCAAAACCCCTTCTAGATAAACAAATAAATCGACCTTGAGGTGACATTTTGGCAAAGCCTGGTCCCGGGGTGTATGATGCTTTTTGCCTCGCTCATCATTTGGTGATTGCGTTTGGTGGCTGTTGCGTCCATGTCAGTGGCCAAAGAAAGCTCAGCACAGAACGGCGCAGCCCCAAGCTGGTCATGAAGCTGGAAACCCTTGGCGATGCTGTAGCGATGCCTTCTCCTGGGCTGTGACTTCCTCAGGAGTGACTACAGGGAGCAAAAGGGGAGTCCCTGGCTCCGTCCGCCCTCTGTAGCTGGTCGTGCTGACACAGGATGAACAACGTGCCTGGGCGGGGGAAAGGTGGTGAAGCTGCTGCCGGGGCTGCCTGCTCCTCAGCAGAGCCAAGCTGTGGCAAAGTCAAACGATCCCCGTCTCTCCATGGCTGAGACGACAATCAGCGTCCTTATGGGACGTCCATCAAACCTTGTCCTGGGACTCAAAGCACTTGTGAAAAAAAACCAGTGAAAATGGTTGCTTAAAATTTCAGATAGGGTCTGTCTGGTGAGTGGCTGGGGCAGGCTGGGGTTTCGGGTGCGAGGGCAGGCTGGGTGCTGCGGGACCGGGCGTGGGACGCAGGCTGCCCTGGGGCAGCTCCTGAACCCCCTGCCCGCAGCAGGGCAGCCCGCGGCGTTCCCTGCAGAGCTTTCACTCGCAGCGCAAGGGGAGCACGACAGGAAAATTGTGCCTCAGCTCATCGTGAAAGTCTTCACTTTGTGTAATAAACAGACGCAACACCTCAGTAGGAAAATTAAATGTCATCTAGTTTTATTTCAGCATTTATTCTGTTTTCTCTGTCTTCTCTAGCCAGGTTTTACTCCGAGACGTGCGCGTGCCTGTGCTGCAGGTTCTGTAGTTGTAGCAGCTTGGCTTTAGTAAAATTTGACTTTGTAAATTATTGCCTTAAGCTTAGGAAACCTGTCACATGGGTTTGGTTTTCTGGGTGGCTTTTTAGCTTCTCGTAAATGCTTGTGTTGCCTGGCGTGGGGGTGTCATCAGCCAGCAGAAAATTGGAGAACGTGCCAATCTTTAGCTGGGCGCAGTGAGCACGGCCGGTGCCTCCAGCTGGTAAGTGGGAGGTGGCGGGGGACTGCGGCGGGGCCTGCCAGCACCCCCCCAGCCC